TGTAATCAAAAGGTTGTTGAAACTCAGAAATTAAATATTAGGGAAAGCAGGCATTGAGTTCAACACCTTCCACTTTAGTCTAGATTTGGAAAGACTGGCTGTTTCCTTACTATCAGCTTATTGTACAGGAGATGACAGGAATAAGCCACTCAAACACTCAAATCCAGCTGGTCACCTTCCATTCCACAGTTTCTGCCACCTGTTTCAGCCTCTATTGGCTACCTGACACTCAAAGAGATTTGGTCAAAAATGCCCAAGGAGAGAACCCAAAAAAAGCCCTGAGCAGAGCACTCTTTTACACCAATCCTTCAAGGTGTCTATGGAATTAAAGGTCTTTCCATGGAGAAACAAGGTCAAGGAAAAAACCCTGAAACCACCATAAAACCAACCAAGCAAGCAAAAAAATCCCTGAACAAACCACTCACCCCAGTTTACCAGGGTCACAAAGTCTGAAAGGAAAGGTGTTTAAAGCTGCAGGGTCAGAAATCAGTATAGAGGGAATTGAGTCAGCACAGAAGCCCTGACAGCATCTACTGCTCCATGAAAGCATCCCAAGAGTACACTACCCAATAATGCTCTGCCTGCACATGGGGGGACAAGCAAACAGCAACAGGCCCCACCATCTCTGAAATCTTCCCTAATATCGGCTAAAAACAGAGTTCTGAGCTACGGGGCTCTTTTTTCTAGCCCTGAAATGACTTGGAAATCTGTCTTTGGGCACAGGCATTGGAATCAGGTCCTTCAATTGTGGCAGCAGACGAAACATAGAGCACGAGGTACACAGAACTTTGTAACCTCCCTTTGTCCACACCGGATTAAGTTATATTAAGTGAAATAACTGGGAATTAATAAAGTCTTTCCTAGATCGAGAAAAGGGCACAAATACGACTTGCGTACATGTGCTGTTCATTTTAATGGTAGGAAATGTCCTGCAGGTTAAGGAAGGGGCGGGACTTTCACGAAACCCGTGGTGGAAAGAGCCCCAGCAGCAAACAGGTCAGCGTGGAGCCAGAGAGGGAGAGATGCTCCAGCAGCGCTTTTCCCTCCGTTAATGTATAGGCAGCACCAACGGGGAAGGCTCCGACAGGGGCGGGCGGTTACATAAGGGGAAATCTGCATTCCTTGCGTAACTCGGCTCTTTACATAACCCCGGCCCCGGAGCGGCACTGCCCGCCCCGCCACTAACGAAACGCGCTGCCTCTGCCTAAAGGAAAAGAAATAAAAAAGATGGGAAGCGTCACGGACTGCAGATTCCCATAGCTGAGAGTTTAGGTGGGCTTTATGGGAAGAAGACAGCAGGTTTTGAAGTAGTTTTTTGTATAGAATCATGGAAGCAGCGAGTTTGGAAGAGACCTTCAGGATCATCCAGTCCCCCCATCAAGCCGGCCCCTGTAACCCCTAAGCCACAAAGCCACATCCCCCAGATCCAGGTTCAGACACACCTTGAACACCTCCAGGGATGGATGGTGATTCCACCACCTCCCTGGGCAGCCCATTCCAACATCTGACCACCCAAACAGTGAAAACACAAATATAACACAGGCCTGGCAGGCGGGCTGGATAAAAATAATAAAACAATTCCCACTCCCAGTGGAAGTTTAAGTTTCTACAGGAATATAAGAAAATTCTTGGTTGGATTTCTTGCCAACTCTGCCTGCTTAGCGCTAGGCAAGGAATACAGAGAGGGTTTGTTTGGGCTGAAAATGGTCACTAGAAATCACCAAGTACAAAGAACTCCTGGGTTGGAAGTTGCAGAATTTCACTAACACTCGTGAAAGGAGACACTTGGAAAATACACTTGTAAAACAAAGAGAAGATAGGGGATAATTTGGGGACAGGGAAAGCTGCAGTTCAGCAACACCTAGCCTGGAGTTTATTTAAGGATAAAAGTTCAACAATACCTAGCCCAGGGTTTATTTGAGGATACGTGACCTTTGTGTAAAGCCATGTCTAAACCACATCTTGCATTTCCCAGTTCCTGGGCAGTTACATGCTCCATCTGTATCCCACAGATACCTGCTGTTTGGGAAGGAAACTTCCGATGTGAGGGCCAAAGAATCCAGATGCAAACCCTTATCACAAATGATTACAGAAAACTTAATGGCCAATAATAATACAAATGCAGAACTGAGCAGCACTTAAGTAGTCACATTTCCCTACAAACATAATATGTAAACTAATTCTAAACATACAGGTTAGATTTCAGTACTGATTTTTGCAGAAATCACCTAATTTAGATTATTTTTATTTTAGGGGTCTCCAAAATAGACCACAGAGTTCTCCTCTGTGAGCTGTAATTACACTGTTTTATTATTTATCACGCACTGGCAGTGTCTCATTTATTAGACTGTTGCTGGCTGAATATTTTATTTCATGTTCATTCTGAGCAAATAAAATTCCTCTTAAAACAAAGCTGAATAAAAGGTCATTGTTCATCAGAGTTGTGCTTAAAAACTATGTCTACTACATTGCATGTAACAGATTTGAAATATTACTTTCAGAAAATTCTGTTTTATAAATCAGATTTAAGGTCATTCAGCTACACATACAGGATGTCTGATAGATTCAGGTCTCTCCTTCTATGAACAGTTCCATAATTTCAGATAAATTATGTATAAAGTCAGAGAGAGACATTCTTCCATCTGGGGTAACTACTTGGAAAGTCCAAGCTAAGTAGGTTGAACACAGACTGGTTTTAAACCAGCATTTTACATGGCTGTTGTGCCAAAGGCTGTTTGCAGATGCCAGCAAAGAATTCGCCAAGTGGTTGGAAAGAAATCTTTCCAAATGTCCACATGATGACTTACGATTCCAAACACACCAGAGTCCCATCTTGCTTGTAAACCTTTCTTGTGCAACAAAGTATTACAGTATGTTCTATTTATAAACTCATGGAAAACTTCTTTTATGTTGCTTCAGGTCCAATTATAAGGACTGTACAGGTACTTTCCCAGTTTATTTTTACAGCAGTGGCTGAACAGTCACATGCTTTTGTAATTTCTATGGTTCTCACTTCCACTTCTGGTTTTAAACAAACTGGTTTATATTTGCATACTCTATATATTTTATCTTATAAATGATTATACTTACAGGACAATTATACTCACAGGTATCCTTTCAGAAGGGAGAGTGTCATTTGGCCAGAAACCCCCCCAGGAATTGGATGCCACACCTAGGATTCTCAGTTCTAATGCCAGTACAAATAATTTAAAAACCATTTTGCATTCTATATAAGCGTAATAGTATCTTGTATGTACATATTCCAGCTACTCAAGATGGAGTTTATGGAAAAGTCTGGTTTAATCAAAGTTTCTCCTCTTAGCTCTCATCTCACATTCCACCTTCTGGAATGGCCTTGAACAATCTCCAAAACACAGGGAATTAGTTGTTTTTATTTAGAGTAGGAGAAAAACTTCTAGATTTACAAATTCCTCCTTAATTCAATACTGAGAAAGACCAAATCATCAGTACCAAGAGTTCTCAGCTGCTCTAATTCAATTACAGGACTGAATACTCATATGCCCAATTAATTTCTGCAGGCTTTTTGAAAAGCAGTGGCTAAGAAATATTATGCTTTTTGATTTGTTGACTTTATAAAACTGACATATATGATTTGTTTTGTATCATTCAATTATTGAATGGAGCAATTTTCTCCCTTTTTGAATTATTACAATTTCCTATATTATTTTGCTTAAAAAAGGAATCATTCTCTCTTTACACTGAAGAGTGTGTGATAACACGATTAAACTGCATTTCACATTTGGTACAAACCTCCCCTCTGGCTTTTGGAGATAATTTCATTTAACTGTGAGGGGTTTTTTTCTGTTGGAATATCAGTAAGTCTTCAGTAAGTAAATGCATGTGTGCCAAGCATATCATTAACTGAACTGACTGAAGATCAGAAAAGCGAGTACTAGGTCTAGTGTCACTTGGGTGCCACTAATGGTTACATTATAGATTGAAATATTTCATTTGATCCATTAGTTGTTTTGTTGTTATCAATACCACAGGCAGTTGTATGAATCTATTTACAAAATGAATCCAAACTCCATTAGCTTTTAAGGCACTGCTCAAATGAAAGCAGTCTCTTACAACAGCTGAAACAATTACAAGTGAAAATGAGAGAACATTTTGATGAACATGCATTCCAGCAGTAATCATCTCCCAGACAAGATTTGTCAGTTTCTAAAAATAATTCTTAATAATACAGATGTAGATTTAGGGGAGGTTTATTATTTTGTTCCATTCCTCTGTAAATGTTGACATTAAAACTTTTACTGCATTTCCTCTTGTTAAAATAGACTGGGAAAGAGAAAATACCATGTGCACTGAAATAATCATGAGTGTATTACTGTCACCAAAAGAGTAGTCTCTAAAGTAAGACTAGAAGCAATAGAAGAAGACATAATAGAAATACACATTAAAAAAAATATATATAAATAAATGTGATCAGCTTTAAGCTGGTAAAAAGGAGCGGATAACTTTTTCTTGTATAGTGAGATTTAAAAAATTAAAATAAATACATTTCTACAAATTGTAAGATTTTCCTGAGGGAACCAGTGCTTGCTGCACAACAGAAGTGAACTAACACCCAGGTGGCTTCAGAAAGAACTGACATTTTACAATGGGAATCCCAACATTTAGAACAACTCTGGAGACACTTGCACTACTTTCAGCGTGTGGTGTGTAAAAGTACAACCTACCTACAAACAGGGCTGGCAGACAGGCTCCTCATGGGGCAGACAAGGTGCTGACTGGCACCACTGAGGTGTTCTAGGGTTTAGTGGTTTATGTTTTGTAGGTGCCAATGGAAGAGTACAAAGACATCTGTGTTGAAAATATGCTGTTTTGCTGTCAGCTCAGTGTTACTGCCATTCCCCAAGGATGCATGTGAATTAGGAGAGCAGAGATAGGACAAGAAACTAAACCCATCAGTCAAATGTATGCTCTTAGATAACTGGCCGTAGTAACAGCTTCTGCAAAATGTGAGAGGACGTGAAGCATTTTCTTGTTAATTTATTCCCGTTACCCTACCCTTACAATCCACCCGGCTTTATTACAGATCTTGCAATAGTATTTTCTTAATGCTTCAAGTACTGTAGATGCATTTACTCATCTATGATCTCAGTTTCCTTTTGAAGTTTTCCAATTTGTTACAAAAGGCAAGCTCATTTAAATACTCACGGTCGCCTACAACAAGTGCCCTGTGTCCTATACACTTAGGGATTTGTGCTTCAGTGCTTGTAGAAGCCTTTCTTTACTAAGACATTTTAAGGTCTCCTTTCTGTGTGAATTCTCTGGCTTTGTTAATACGTGAGCTCACACTGCAAAGTTCTCTCTTCACTCTCCGCTGGAGCTGCCCGTTTGTGCGTAAGAAAGCTGAGAAACACAGTTATCTTCCAAACCGTTATTTTTTCACTGCGGTTGGCACAAAGTCAGCACGGGAGGGAACTCTGCCAAGCTCTTGCATCCCACAGAAGAGATTAAATCGAGTACAGAGGCAAGACTGATGTGCCAAGCTGAGGAAAGAAAACCAAAAGGCCATGGGATACCTGAATCCAGCAAGCAGGGCACAATTGTGATTTGATGGACACCAAGCTTGAACTTCCAGCCAAACTGCCGCGACAGCAGGCAAGTTTGAGCAAGTTCAGGCAGGTGGCTGGGAGAAAGGAAGAGAGCAGCACTAACAGATCAGCAGTCGAGGGGTGTATTGAATGGCCAGCAGCAACAGGTGTGCTTTACTCACATATCAAATGGGCAGGGCAGCTGTGAGTCAGAAGTACAGACACTTACAGTATGTGGTTTTCTGGGTGGCAGATACTTTGTCAGGGTGTTGCCAGCAGCAGCTGATGAAGACATTCAGAGTTACTGTGGGAAAAGCACATACACACAGCATAAGTCCCTTTCCCAGGCTGAGAAACAATGCAGGAAAATGAGAAACTATTTTTGGAGTATTAATATTGTTTATAAATATTTTTTTTTTATTTTGGCTGACTCATTTCCAAATGCCTTGGATTGCTATTGTCTCATACAACAGCTGTGGCCGTATTTCTTAGCCTTTTTTATGACCACATGAGGATGAATGTACTGACACTTGTCTAAGAGTCAAAATATCCGCTCTTCTTTGCAACTTGGACTTGGGATGGAAAACTTTTCACTTCATTTCTTCACTAGATGTATGAAGTAAAGGAGTTTCCGAAGGCCTAATCAGCTGTTGTTTACTTGTAGGGCATTTCTATGCCTGCCAAGCTGGTGGGACACCTGATCCCTCGTGTTTTGGGACATCTACCTTTAACTCTGCTCGTCTTTTTACACCAACTACCTTAACTCACTGCATTCCTAGTGCTTCCCTGCATCGTAAAGATACTTTTATATCTAAATGTCTTCATTAGTCTCCAAATACTGTGACACAAACTCACAAAAAATGTCCCTAGAACTTTCAGCTTCAGGGCCCAGAATCTCTCAAAATAAGGTCAAATTATTTTACATGTGAATATCCTCATTCCTGCTGAGTCACTCTGGGTTTGAGCTTCAGTTATTTGCCTTGGCCTATTTACCCGGAAAATTTCTTGGGGTTTTGTTTGTTTATTTTTTTTTAATGTAGACGAGCACCTGGACGGCGACTGCTGAAGGGCAGACGCTGTTGAAAACCCTTCTGACAGGGACACATCGCCAGCACACTTACCGGCTGTCATTCTGCACTAACCTCCCGACTTTCTGGTCTCGAACCCAAGTTTTCTACGTTAAAGCGCTTTTCGAGGAGTTTTGAACCAGGCGCTCGGGAAGGCGGCACCGCTGAGGCGAATCCAGGTGGGGCTGGGCTCCCTCCCCGCCTTCCCTCCCTGCCTGCCTGCCGCGCCGGCCGGGGGCCATGTGACAGCGCGACTTCTGCCTTCCAGCCGCCGAAGGGGAAGGGGAAAGGGAAGGGGCTACATTTCCCCGCTGCTCCGGCTGCCGCTGAGGCCGCGGCCC